ATTCATGCGCGTCATATAACTGATAACCTGTGAGTATAGATTATGTTAATAGTGTCATGTAAAATAATGTATTAATCAAAATTATGATTATCATATAACCGATAACCTGTGAGTATAGATTATGTTAATAGTGTCATGTAAAATAATGTATTAATCAAAATTATGATTAAATCAATTAATGTCATAAAAATAATCAACTCTTATTACCATTTTTGATTATTCCAACTATCCAAGTCTCACGAAAACAACAAATGCAGTCGATTAATGAGTCCAACAATTGATTAATTATTGATTTTTCCATAAATTATCCAGCTCTGTTATATATTTTACAATAAGATGATTTGAATACAGTGATAGTTATTGTGATTAAACCTCAGTGCTACCCACTGTCTGTCATTTTGTCTTACTGCAAAAATTAGTAATAAAATTAATTGAAGTGATCTGGTATTTCATAGAGAGACTCAAAAGATAGCTCAAATAAACAATAAAGGGAAAAAAATACATAAAATATAAATATAATAATAATAGTTAACAAAAAATGAAAGTTTATCACCTCACAAAATTACTTGAGAGCTAAAGTGTATATTTACAGGAAGACTTTTCCCATGCTTGCTGTTTTATATTAGTGTTAGGCATTTTGTATTCTCTCATAGTTCTTTCTTGTCATATTCAGCTTTTTTCTTTTTTTCTACTAAGAACTTATAATCCAAAGTTAGTTAACTATATAGATCAGAAGTAAAATGATCAAAAAACATTACTGAAAAATTGATGAAGACAGTCCTATATAATATACTGACTAGAAAACACTAAATGTTAAATGAGTACAAAACTGAAACTATAATGATTAGAATGCTTATAGGTTTCCTGGCTGTTAATATTTGTGGCTGTAATTCCTTTTGATAAATTGAAACTTTTATTCAGAAATGCTATTCGCCTCACAACAGAACAGATGACTATTACCTCACACCATTGCTGAAAAGTTTTGTATATTTCTGCCAAATGTTTGAATGATACTTCGACCCTTACACTTAATAATGTGTACTCCACCAGTGTATGATGTAATCAACATTATACTATATCCCTTCAACAAGAGGAAGGCAATATATCCTTCATGCACGGTATTCTCATTGAGTGTGTTGTGCATATCAAAAGCTCATTCTTTTCCCCATCACTGCAGTGTTTCAGTTGTGTTCTTTTTTTCTATAAAAATTAAAAAATGTTTTTGCTTATTATTTTAAACCATTACTAACATTTAAAGTGTTATCTTTAGTATATTTGTTTTCTTGATTTTGTTAATTGATACAAATTTTTAAGATTTCATATAGAACTTTTCGTATGAATTATTGTCTTTTCTTACATTAATTTGATTTTTTCCCCTTAATCTAATTATGATATTTTAGGACATTTGTTTCAGAGTATGTGTTATAGCTTCTTTGACTGAAATATTCATCATCATTATTAACCCATTGTTCTGGTTTTTTATTGTTAGCTTCAACTTTCGTCATTATGACAATGACTAAGACATATAAGACCAACTTGAAAAATATATATATATATAAAAAAATAAGTTTAGTAATAATATCACTTTTCTTTTGTTCTGTTTTGTAGTTTTTATTGATTATGGCTTCTTATATCTACATTTCGGAAACCTCCTGATGCCCAGTCTCTCCTTCATAGTTGTCATCTTACTTTCTTTCAATGACAACTGGAATTACTCAAATGGTGAGCAGTATTACCACCATTGACACCATATGGTTGTTTCTTCTCGGACCCAGGACTGTGGTCTCCTGCTTCTGTATTTTCTAATAAACCTTTGTTTTTGAATGATTTTGACCAACTCTTCCCCAAAACCTGCTTTTGCTTCTGGTTCTTCTATTCATATCTATTATAAGCTCACTCCTTATAATAGATTGAGGCTAAATTTCACACTTCAACAGTATTAATGTAGATTGGGTAACATCTACCTTTGTCCTGCTTATTCTGTTATGTATTTCAGGTATATCTAACCTTATATAACCTTATAAGGTATAACCTTAGCCAAACTACACAAATATGCTTTGCCGAACCACATGTGCTGGTGGTGGTGGTTCTTTTGCTCTACCACTTCTATTGGACATAATGTGATGCCTTCCCTAGCCCCCCCCCCCCCATAGTGGGTGGTATATTCCATTAGTTTCCCTTTCTGCTGTTATATTTTCATGAAGTAGCTCACCTTTTTAATTTCTTTACCTACACTGGTCTATTCCACTATTTTATAATTCTTGGATTCTAGCTGTCTGTTCTGTGGAGAGGGAAGTAGCATTCTTGAAGTTAACATTTTTCTTATTTGAAACTGTGTTTCAGATAAATACACAACTTACCACAGAAACACAAACCCTTTCTACCCCACATTTTGCGTGTGCCTCTTTCTTCAAGAATGAACTTTCAGTACACACAATGTGCTCATGGGGTGCACTGTGCATGTTGGTAGAAAGCTATAGTCTAATGCTAATTGCATCATAGACTACTACCGTGCACATTATGTGTAGTGGTGGTAGTTTTGTTCAAAGGCTTGGCTCATGGGCAAAAAATCTTTTTGGCAGTGGTATGAGGTAATAGCTATCTGTTTTGTGAAGAGGTGAATATCTACCTGAAATACATTTTTAGGTAAGAAAAATGTGAACACATTTTATTAACATTAGACAAGTAACTGTTCTGTTTAGAGCTTTAAAAATATGTATTATAACTGTGAACTGGATTTTCAGTCACTTTAATTTTTTGTTTTGTAACAATGCATTAAAACTTTGCAGTTATACTCTGTATCAAAATCCCAAACAAAATCAATGTTTTTCTCTAAAAATATATTGGATGACATTATGTAATTAATTTTGAAATTTTCTTTGAAAACAAAATAGACTATAAAACTTTTATCGTAACCCTCAAAATACTGATTTATTTTTATACTAACGGGGTGTGTATATTGTAATATATTGAGTAATTTTATATTTTTGCCTATTATGGTGTAAAGAACTGATAAAAAAAATAAAGGTGAAATCACTCATTGTCTTTGTAAAATATGTAGAATATGAGTAATTTCAAATTTTTGGATTAATTGTAATATTGATTGTATATTTTTTTAACTTAAGTGTTTTGCTTCATCATTCCCACTACATTATGTGAAAGGTCATGACAGACAGTTGTCATACTCACTTAAGTGTTTAATTTCTTTGTGGAAATCATATGTTTTGAGGGATCTAAAGTAACAGTCTGAGTAACAAAGCAGTATAGATAAATTTTTTTAAAAAATTGATTGGGTTCATATAGTTCTTCATTGGTAATTCTGTTTGAGTTTTGCTTATTATAACAACTAGAAAATATGAATGATCTTTTTGCACTATTTAATGATTTAGCTGAAGGATATTGAATATTTATGTATAACAAGTGGAATATAAAAATGAATTTTTGTCTCTTCAGTTAGCTAAAAAGTATCACCCTGACACTAATAAAAGAGATCCAGAAGCAGCTAAGAAATTTCAAGAGGTTACAAATGCCTATGAGGTGAGACCAAAACAGCATTTAATTTTTTGTTCATTGGCATCCTTTGTAAGTTGAACATACACTTATATATGTATATATACATTTATAGAATTGGAAATAGTTATGGAAACATTAAATAAAATGAGTATAACATGCAATTATTATGGGACTGCTCTAGCTCTATTGTATATGAAAATAAAACACATTACAGTACAGTCACTTTTATAACTTACACTGTGCTTGACTGTCATCCTTCCTGTCAGATAGTGCCACACCAGTAAAATGCTAATAAAGTAAAGGCAATTATACTATCCCCAATAGTAGTGTGACCATGCTGTCATGAATCCCAGGACAAAAATTTCACATGACAAAAAATGTATAAATCAAAACTTTGGCTGGTGAAACTCACTCCTTATAACAGATTGAAGCTAAATTTCATACTTCACAGTATTAATGTAGTCATCATTTCTTATTTTAGTGTTAGTCCCTTTGAAAAAAACATTTGAATTTTTGTCTAGTGTTAGTCATTGATCTTCATTTAGTTATATTCTTAGTTTAGTTGATGAAAGATTTAGTCAACTCTTGTGACATGGAATTAGTAAGTCAGGATGTCATTGTACTGGAATTTACTTTTACATCTATATTTATATATTTATTAAAAATATAGTAAATATAAATGCTAAAACAGTTTAGGCAAGTAGCTGACTAATAATGGAAAGACTTTAAGACAATGCTAAAACTGAAAGTGATTAAGGCTGGAAGAACAGACTGGAAATTACTATTATTTGTGTAATTGGACCAACTTTGTAGCTATAAAACTATACATACTATAACTTTATATCTACTGTGTGTATGTCTGCCAGCTTTTATATAGGGCTGGATTCTTTACATTAAGTGTCTGTGACTTGTTGGTGGTAAATGTCAACAATAAACAAACAGCACACAATGTACTTGTTTTAAAATAATATATATTCAAAACAAGTCAAACATATGTACAAAAATTCTTTACACTATTATTTACCACAGTTGAATCTAGAGATTTAGATAATTCACCTTTTGTCAAAAGTCCACAAATGCTGGTTCAGTTATTTTATAGCCCAATTGACAAGACAAATTATTTCTTTACTTTTATTACAATACAGTCAGTGATAAACTCACTTATGTTACCACAGTTGTATCCAGAGCTTTAAATAAATCAAGTTTTCATCAAAAGTCCACACAGCTGGTTCAATTACTTTAGAACCCAAATGAAAAGATTTATTATTTTTCTCTATCTCAGTTGTTACAATACAATTGTGAAACTTTCACTTTACAAGCCAACTATTATGGTTAAACTGACAATCATGCAGTCTAACTTCACTTTTTCATTTTTACTTTCTCTTAATTTACTTTAACTTATTACTTGCACATTTTATCTGTACGTATTTATAGCATGCAACAGAAAAATTTAGAAATATCTAACCCTCTAGGGACAAAAATATTCATATAATGAGAAAAACTTGGAAGCTTCGAGTAAGATAACATCAACAACATTACAAATTACATAACAAGAATTAAACTGCATACAAAAGTTATGGCTCTTACCGAGTTATGTAACAAAACTTGTCACAACTATCACTTTCAAAATAACTAACTTTTAACACACTTGTTATGAAAACTCCTGTCTTAATGCCATCAGAAAACAAAGCACTGTAAATATAATCTTTATTGTAATAATGTTAATGTTGCAAAATATAATTATTTGTTATTCACTATATGCAACTTAGAACACAAAATATCAAGTACAAAAAGTAGAATGTTCTAAAACTACTATAATTTTGATACACTTATATTAGCTTTTCTCAACTTGCACTACCCTCTAGATGTAAGATTTTCACTTGCCACTAATCTTGATGCTCCTACCTACCCTCACATAATTTTCCATGGTATAGCTTTGCTATAGCATGCAAATGAGCATGTGACAACTCTCCACCAATAAATGTGTGACACACCCATCTACTGCAGCTGACTTCCTTTATACTTTAGAACACTATCATCATTTCTTGATTTGGAATTGCAGTGTGCAATTGTGCTTAGTTTTTGCTCTGTACTTACAATTCTTGTGTTCACTTTAAGTTAATTCTAATATGTTTTGACAACTTCTTGTATGTTATCATTACTGCTTGCTTAATATTTGTAGAGTTTTCTTTTTTTTTAGCTTTCCAAGTAATGAACTTTCACTTTAATGTTACTGCAAACATTTTCTACTTCTGTGGCTTTGGACTTCAAACTTTCTGTGAAGGAGATTTGGGCCATGGCGCATTGTGATTTGAAAAATAACTTGTGGCATGCTACGTCTCCTGATCTCCTGTTTTAGGAGGAATATGGTCCTGACGAAGATGATTTGTACAGCCTTTGCTGTGCAATCCTGTACTACCCCTCTGGATTTCCCTTATCAGCTTTTTTTGGATATGATTTCCAGGTATGTTTCTTATTGTCTCTTAACCCTGTGTCTTATGATTCATCCCCCTCCCTCCTTGATTCAGCACCATTATCAGATTATTTGGTTTCCATCCCCTCTCCTGATATTCATGTACATGCTGAACAGTTTCTTTCCCTATTACATTTAGGTGCCAACATGCCTCGACCACCACATTTCTCTGATTCCTATTCCTGGCTTATCATAGGACAGAATTTCCAGGTATAGATTCTCAGACCTTGGAATCTTTGATTCAGGAGTGGGGTTCCAACCTTGAGACTATCTTAGGGTATTCCCCTGCTCAATTTTTTTCATTTTTGTCTCACTCTCTTGACTATCCTCCATTAACTCTCTTCCATCCACCTCCTTTCTGAGAATATTCACCATTCCCCTGAAGAGTTTTTGGTGGTACATGTACCCTTCTATTTTCCATGTTGGTGCATTTATCTTCCTCAGCCTTATCTCTTCATACATGGCTTCTTTCTTGTTGGGATCTCCTTGGCAGGGAAAACTTCTTATCTTACATGCATCTACCTGCTTACTATTTCTGAGACCTCCATCTGGCCCCTTATTTTTACTACAGTCTGTATTTGGGGATCTTCCTAGTACTTTGGAATCTTGGGTGGAGGCTGCACATCAACATTCCTCCCTTCCCCAAACCTCTCCTACATTCTCCCCACTCCCATTGTCATCTTACTGGGTTTCTGCCGTGAGTCACCAAATTGTCCATCATCATGTTTTCTGACACAAGTTTCATTGGTGACTATCTCTTTGGTTCTGGATATATGGTGGATAGGTTAACCAGACCTTTTTCACCTGTTGCACCTTATCACCAGGTTTTCAGGTTTTAACAGAATGACTATTCCTTCTGTTTTTTGCCCCAACTTTATCCTCACCATCTAACCTCTACCATCCTCCTTTCTTACAAGTCAACTCTGCCTGGTGGCTCGACAGAGACACCACCTTGGGTGGCATTCCTCTGTCTTCTCCATGTTCTGATTTGCACCTTTTTACAGATGCTTCTCATACAGAGTGGGGAGTGTATCTGGACTCTCAGGAGATTTCCGGTCATTGGACTGTGGTCAAATTTTCCCTCCACATCAATCTTTTGGATCTTCTTGCAGTTTTTTGGGCTTTGGATCATTTCCTACCTTTAGTACGATGCCATTTCGATAACTTGACCATTGTCTCTTATATCATTTGACAAGGGGGCACCTATTCCTTCCTGTTCGTTTTTTTTTAGAATGTTGGATCTCTTTTTCTGGGCTCAGTCTCAGCTAGTTTCTCTTCTTTCTTGTCACACTCTGGGTGCTCTGAATCTTGTAGCAGATTGGTTATCTCGTCCCAGCAAGATTCTATCTACAGAGTTGTCTTTTGCTCCTCAAGTATTTTGGTGGTTATGCTAGCTGTTACTGGTACTCCTATTCCAGATATGATGTATTTGCACAAAACTGCTCATCTTCTGGTCTCCAATTCCACAGAATACCTTCAGTCAGTACTGGACCAATCTTTACTTTTATGCTTATCCTCCTATCTGTTTTCTACCTCTTATTTTATCTCTTTTTCAAGCCACTCCATGTCAGGTCCTTCTCATTCTGGCCTGTTCAACTGTAGTTTTTGATCCTTTAGTCATCCCCTCTCATACCTCTTTTACTTTCCCATTCCCTTCTATGTCTACCTCACTCCACCATATTTCTCCCACTCTCACCACACTCTGGGTTCACACATGGATTTTTCTGGACATTTGTGAGAAAATTTAAACTCTTAATGCGGGTAGCCTCTCTTCTTTCTCCTTTGGTCTGCCCTTCTTCTTTGAATGTTTACCAAACGAACTGGTGTATTTTCTGGAGTTGTTCTTTGTGCCATGGGTTCTCACCTTTCCAACTTAGTGTTTCCCACTTTTCTGATTTCTTTACTTGGCTCTTTGACAATGGTTTATCAGTTTCCACCATTACGGGCTATAAGTTGGCCTGGTCAGTACTTTTTTTTTGCTCCTGCTCCCATTGTATTTTTCCTCTATAATTCTCTCTCTCATGTTTTGCACCTTTTGTCTGATTCATCTACTTTGTTCAATTCCCCTACTTGATTGGAATATCAATGTGGTCAGTCTTGCCCTTACTCTTCTTCCATTTGAACCTTTAGCCACTTGCTCATTGTATCACCTGTCCGTCAAGATGTATTTCCTACTCCTCTTCACATGTGGTCATGATAGGTCAGATATTTTTCCTATGGATGTCTCTCGTATCCTCTATCTCCATACCTATGTTTTCCTTTATCCAGATTGTACTTTTTTGCCAAGTTGTCAGTGGCATGTGAAGGGGACATTACTTTCACTCCTATTTCCCTCCTCTCCATCTGTCATTTGTATTCCTGTTCATATCCTGGTCATCTTCTTTGTCCAGTACATGTTCTGTGTTGCTATGTTGCCCACACTACTTCCTCCCAAGGAGTCTGTTCCTGTCTTTTTATACCATGAAGACTTCCTCTCCCATGAACTTTCTCATATCACCTTTACTGGATGGATTTGCCAACTTATTTGTCTTGCTTCTGCATCATTATCTGA